ATTCCAATCTAATGGCATCGTAGCAATTTGTTGAACCTTGATGGCACATTGACGAGTACAAAAGACATACCTCGATCTCCTCCTCTCTAGCTCGCTCTTGCAGACGTACTATGCAGCTAGCGCAGCAACTAGCTGTGTGCCGCGCCGGTGGCCAGCCGAGAAGAGGTGGTGGCCACCAGCTCCTGGCCCGCAACATAGCTAGCTTGGGGAGACGGAGGGATGAGTTGATCTGCACGTACAACGACAAAGACAAAGTGAGCACAAGTTGAGATTGGGATCGAAGCCAACGATGGATACGGAATGTGGATCTCGCTCTTACCTTCTTGCAAACCCAGCCAGCTGGCAGCTAGTTAGGACGAATGGTGGCGGTGATGTCGCGGTGGGGAATGTCGCGTCGGCGGTGGAGGCGACGACTGATGAGTTCTTGCCTTCTTGGCTAGCAGAAGAAGAGGAAGGGGAGACGGGGTGCTAATGCAAACTAAGGTAGAGAGAGAACACCTAAGGGAGAGTGATCAGTAGAGTCACTCTCTGTGTGATCGTTTACAAGGCAAACAAAAAAGCAACTGCTTTTCAAAACCAGACTCCGAACTAAGAAGTGCAAAGCATCTAGCAGTGACTTGACTTGTCTGTATTTTTCATCCATCAATGCATTCATGCGTGTCTATCTGCAAGCTTAGCTCTACTTTGTCACTTTAGTTCATTCTTTGTTATTAGAATAGTATCTTTTTTACAGCTTATAGTGAGATCAACAGCTTAACTAGCTAGTCTAATATGTCACTAGTACAGAAAGTGCTATTGGTGCCGGTTAGGAAACCCCTGTAGGTGCTGGTTTTCTCAATCGGCACCATGAAAGCGGCATAGATGAGTCCAAGTAATTGGTCTTGGATCCACAACCGGCATATTTGAGGCGCACGCGAGCCAAAAAATATCGGCTCAATGCATCGCCTCAATTCGTGCCAATGCATCGAGTTGCTCCCATTCCCCCAAATGTAAATTGAAATCCCCGAATCAAAACTAGATCGCCGCCAAGATCGATTGACATCACAGAATGAACATATTCAACAACAAAAACATGCACAAAAACAACCACAAAGAACGCGTACAGGCATGGGCTCTCGCGCCGCGGAGGTCGTCGACAACAAAGAACGTGCTACCGGCAGGGAGGGAGGGTGCCGCGCCCCTGCCACTGCCTCCCCGTGGGGAGCCCGCCGCCCGTGGCCTACCGCCTCCCCTCCTGCCGGATCTGGCGGATGGGAGGACACCGCCGCGCCCACCACCCACGGCAGGGCCTGCCGCCTCCCCTCCCGGCCATGGTGCTCGCATATGGAAAGAAGAGGAGGACGGATGAAGGGGGAGGAAGAGAGCGGTGGGGGAGAGGAGATAAGGTGCAAGCAGGCCAGGGACGGGTTTTTATAAGGTGGCGCTCGATCGGCTTAATAAGGGCTCGGCTCGGTCAGTTTTTATGGGTGCCGGTTTTTAAAAAAACTGACACATGTAATATATTAGGTGTCGGTTCTTTAGGAAATCGGTACCTATAATATATTATAATTGCTGGTTATTTTAAAAAAACTAGTACCTATAGTAATAGTGTTAGTTTTTTCTCTAGAATCGGTACCTATAGTGCTTGAAGGTGCCGATTCTATATTTTTTCAACACACGGAGATGGAAAAAGATCCATATGTGCCATTTTTTTTCAACACCTATGAGCCGATACCCTTCAGGAGTTTTGTAGTAATTTGTGTATGTTGGTAGGAACATCGTATACAAGAAAAAAAGATCAAAGAAAAAGGGACCCATAACCTGAAGTAAAATGAAAATGTGTTGCTCGATCAATTTCATATGTGCATCTGGCCACAACATGTGAGGAGAGAAGGTAGTAGCAGGGGCATGCAGCTAAGGGAGGGAGGTCACATCTAATTCCGTTGGTGGCCATAGCTGCATCTGCATGGTCATCGATGGAGATGGAGACGTGCAGAACACTCCCAGCCAAAACTTGCATGAGATGAGAGTCATTCGTGACGGGTTTTTGTGTTGACCCGATTAAAATGTGTGTCATCCGTGATGGCCGGATGTCCGATTGAGATATTTTTTCACATCACTGACCACTGACCTTTACTTAGTGACGGGGGCCCTAGCTACCTGAAAGAGATGATGCTTCAAGCCCGTTAGAGATAAAGCATCCCGTTCTAGTGAATATTTCTTACACACATATTAGTTACTCTCACCTTCCCATTGACCGTCCTTATTTAAAACATTTTTGTGATTAATATTTTTATTATTATTAGATGATAAAACATGAATAATATTTTATGTATGGCTTATTTTTTTTATTTTTTTCATATTTTTTTAAATAAGACGGGCAATCAAGCGTTGTATATGTAAACCACAACTACATTTAAAATTAAATGGGACGGAGAGAGTATATAAATGATGATCCCAGTTGCGTTAGTGGGATTTATTTGACAGTTCAGCTTCCTGCCTCCTGTCGGCAAGCTAGCTAGTAGCTAGCTATCTTTTGTAGAAAAATAGCATGGCTAGCTTAACACAATACATCATTTGTTCAGATGGCTCACAAAAACAAAAGTTCAATTCTTCCAATCACTACCAGAAATCCAATATATCACACAGGCCAGCCACTCAAGTTCGCCATGTTATATATATGGACCGATAACTTTATCTTAATTTTATTTCATGGGTAATAATCATCGACAAATCTGATGATAAACGTACTCAGATCATATATATATATATATATATATATATATATATATATATATATATATATATATATATAATAGCAACAGTTCAGCTCATCGACAAATTTTCGCTAGCAGTAGCAGTGGCAGCACTGGTGGTTCCTGCGGAACTTGCACTCGCCGCCGCGGCACGCTGACTGGCACCACTCGTTGCAAGCGCCGCATGCAGCGCTGTTCTCGCGTGCCTCGTGTGCTCGTCGTGATTGCCCCACTTCGCGAAGTCTCAGCAACACCGGGGCTTCATCGCCGCTGCAAATTTAATTAAACCCGAACACATAAAACATCATAATTAATACACTAGGTATTAATCATTTATACTCGAGTGTAACAATATATACATATTAATTTATCTGCTACAGGTGGATTCATTCTGTAATACCGTGTTTATGGACTATATTTTTTTAGAGAAGGGTTTTTTTTATCCGGTATCTAGATCCAAACGGATATATGCGGCCATTTAAATTAGGAACTTAGCCCCACAAATAATCCAACCTTGGGGTACTACTCAGGTCACTGCAACCACTAAGCTACATGGGTTTATTAACTGACTATACGATATCTCAAATTAAGCATATTGGGAGCATTAACTTTCCTCCATCTCAGCTAGAGTTTGTGGCAGCTGAGGGCCCGAGAGTGTCAGTCGATTGAGTTGGAGTGTTGTACATGCCCTAACATCCACTCTTGAGGCAGGGTAGAAGAGTAATAAAAGAAAACCATATTGATGGACTAATAGTTATACGTTATTATTGTCAATCAATTGCTATAGACGAATATATTTTTATGCGACGATTATTAACTAATAGACCATACAGGGCTAAATCGCTCTACTTGCCTTAACCTATATTGTTCACGAAAAGTTCACAAAAGAAATCCGATATCATGGCTAGGAAATAATGGACATGCATCGATTATGAATAGCGAATGTATGAATAGAGACCACAAGAGGTAGTGAGATCGATTTGTCTTACTCGTTGTATTAGCAAGAAGAACTACCACAAGAAGAGCAATCGCTACACAAGCGCTAACACGAGCCATGGGCATCTCTTTTCTCTCCTACGAACTACACTTGACCAACTTCCTCTGCAGCACTGTTAATTCTCTTGCTGACTGCTTTCCTGTTTGTTCGCCAGATTTACACGGTACGATCATATTTAAAGCCAGAATATTTCGTCGAAATCTGGAGAGTACCCAGATACGTATCCATGTAATAATTGAATATGAGATATGGATATATATGCTATACTAAGTATTAATTGTTGCCCTGTGCATATCCACACCCATTGTTGAATGGAATATTTGCTTATTAATGTTACCTTAAAACCATATATATATACACCCATTATTAATTCAGCATAATTAATCCAAAGTGTGTGTTGTGACGACCCTTGCCATTGCTTCATTCCGAGTGAACATGTCTGCACTAGCATGTCTAATAGGCGTGACGTTGCGCACGGGTGAGGCGTGCGAATTTGTTGACACAAACGAGAAGAGCCTTAAGCCGTCATGCGTTTTCATGTCAACTGAAATTTTTACATTTTGGTCCTTTTAAAAACTTATTTTATAAATAGACCCTTGAAAAAACTTAAACTGAAAATGATCCTTTTTGGGGCGCCAGAGTGGCTGGCGCCATCCTCCAACATAACGGCGCTAGCCAAACTAGCGCCTTCCCCGTGCCACCGTGGCACCAGGGCCTACGTGGGCTTGCTGACTCGGCAGAGCGGAGCGCCAGCCACCCTGGTGCCGCCCCGCATAAGACGGCGCCAGCATGTCTAGCGCACCCCTCCTTTGTGAGCCCCACCAACTTTCTCCCCCACTTCCATTTTTGCCAAGTCTCTTCTGCCTCCGGGCAACGGCTGGCGCCCCCCCCCCCGACCGCGGCGCCAGCCATCCTGGCGCCGCCCCCTCCCCCCCGAGGACCTTCTGCCTTCGGGCCGCGGCTGGCGCCGCCCTCACGGACTACAGCGCCAGGGTGGCTGGCGCCGCCCTCTACCTCCCTGCAAATCGAATATCCATATTGCACAAATGTACCAATTCACAGTTTGCAATTCAAATCACAATTCATAGTTTCATACAGACTAAAACAAGTTCCAATTGCACAAATCACAATGCCAAAAGTCCATCACATAGTCCATCACATAGTCCTCATATAGTCCATCACATATTCTACACATCAAACAATGCCAAAAGTTCATCACATATTCCACACATCAAACAATGCCAAAAGTCCATCACAAAGTCCTCACATATTCCACACATGAAACAATGCCAAAAATCCATCACATAGTCCTCACATAGTCCATCACATTTTATATCACATAGTGCACCACATACGTCATACTACCAACAAATAGATTAACTTCATACAAATCACTTCTTCCGTTGGCGCCGAATAGCTTGCGAGCCCGGAGTGTACCTTGAAAATCCAATGTTTAAAACATTTAAAAAACAAAATGAGGCAAATCAAATAACATTTGAGAATGGTAAGCTCATTTTACCTCTTTTTCCCTACCCGAGTGGATTGCAAGTTGTATTGGGTGGGTTGCGTCCCCTAAGGCGCATCGGGAAGCTGCGACATGTCTATCTCCTCAGCGTCTGGTGCGACGTAGTCCTCATCCTCCTCGTCGTCGTCGTCATCATCGACGCTAGGTGGAGTCGGCGCCTTCCCCTTTCCCCTCCCTTGTGGAATGCGTGACGACGACGAACCACCAACTTCTTCACGCTCTTCTATCCTGATGGAGTGTCGAGCGGTACTTGGACGCGCGGATTGAGGTAGTGGTGGTGGTACTCTCCGCGGTTGGTACATGTCGTCCAATCCAACCGACCTGCAACCTAATCTTGCTGCAAGTTTCCAGCACCTTTGACGAACTTTTTGCATTTAAAAAAAAAGAAATTTGTTAGTCATAAGTCAAGTAATGTATAGTGCTAAATCAATTTTACCTCTTAAGACATTGCGGAGTGTGTTCTCCGTGTCCTCACCACCCCTCGGAGATTAGAGGGCATGCCACATTTCATTCACACTCGTGAGGAGCTCTCTCAACTGAAAGTGTGAGAAGATGTTTGTTATGGTGTAAGGTGCAAATGAAATCACTTTGACAAATGCAAGAAAACTTACGACTCTGTCTCTAAGTGGGGCGTGCTCCATTTGATATCCAACCCTAGTCCGGACGTCGTAGGGATTCCGCCCCTCATCGGAGTCGCGGTCTTCCTCTATATCCAAATTTTCTATGGTACGTACCAATTTTGATGCAAACACCTCTAGAGATCTAAATTGAGACTCTTTTATCCAATCAAAGTAAACTTCCCATTCCAACTAACCTATCACATTTAATATATACTTATGCTCTTGACCAACATCGTATCTCCCATAAAAACGAATCTCCACATTATTCTCGGTCTATCCAAGAACTTCTTTCACTCGTGACCTTAGTTCATCTAGAGTTGGGTGGGTGGGAAACAAAATGGTCTTCAATGACATATCCTCAAACTCAACATATGCACCAACATAAGGTTCCACCACTCTACCACCGTAGTAAACACGAACAAGTCTATCCATCTACACCAAAAAATCAAATGTAACTTTGCAACAAAAATTAAATCTCCCTTCCTAAACGTAGTCCAAACTGACATATTATAACCAATGCATAACTTAAATTGTCCCAAAGCTACTACTCCACAAAAAATATTTAATCCACCTACAAATATCAACAAGTTTACTAGTGCATTACACATCGAAATATTACAAATACTCCGTAATACAACCCAACCTAGTTCTAATTAACCATAATCAATTTCTATAATGCAACCAAAATTTTCTCCCCTTCATATAATTAATGGTTAAAAGTTTAACCTATAGGCTATAGCATCAAGTCCATCAAATTAAAATTACTTTCATGCCTTAACCCTAATTTTTCATCCATCCATCCAACCAAACCATCCAAAAATTAACATTACCACATATATGGTTCAAAAAATCGTGACACCAATGAGTACATTGCAAACATGTAGCACTATAACAAGCTAATCCCAAGAACAAATGCTAAAAATCACAAATTTGGGCAAAAAGGGGTTCTAGGGTTACCCTCCGATCTATAAATTCAACCAATAAAAACGAAAAAAAAGAGGGGGGGATGGAGGAGTCTACCTTTCTCTTCGATTTCCACAAAAAATCCCGCGAAAAATGGCTTCAAATTGACTGGATTTGAGGTGGAGAGGTGAGGGGGAGAGAGAAGGGAGAAGAACTGTTGCTGCTGCTCGGGCTCAAGTCTGGCGAAAATGAGAGTGGGAAGGAGAAAGGTGGTGGGGCCCACGGGGTTTAAGGGCGCGGCCCACAGAGGAGGGGCGCGCCTGCCATGCTGGCGCCGTGGTATGAGGGGCGGTGCCAGTGTGGCTGGTGCCCCCCTTCTGCCCAGTCAGCACCGCCACAACGGCCCTAGTGCCACGGTGGCGCGAGCATGGGGCTAGTGTGGCTAGCGCCGCCATGTTGGGGGACGGCGCCAGCCACTCTGGCGCCCCCAAAAAGGACCATTTCCGGTTTATGTTTTTCTAGGGGTCTATTTGTAAAATAAGTTTTTGAAAAGAACCAAAATGTAAAAATTTCAGTTCATGTCAACGAGGACACTCTTCTTTCCCTTTGTGGATATATATCGGTTTGTATTGGAACTTTATGTACTCCTTGTTTGCCTTCTTTAGCTTTCTATGTAGGAACTTTTATCATATATAGCAACTTTATACATTGAAACGTACTAACTTATACTAGAAACGAATTCATAAAATACATTCGAAAAGTAAAAAAAATATATTGTATGGACTTTTTTTCGATTACATAGCAGACGCACACACCACTACACACGCAACACCACACTCACAACCCCTATAAATGTGCCTCTTAACAAATGCTCTAAGAGACAGAAACCAACGTCGACGTATTTCTCATCTCACTAAAATTCTATTGAAAACTCACATGCAAGTGCGTAATATTCGTGGACACTACACTACTACAGAAAGGGCAATATGTGCCGGGTGGGAAACCCCATTTGGTGTCGGTTTTCTCAATAGGGACCACGATGGCGGCACTGATGAGTCGGAGTGATTGGTGCCGGCATTCAAAATCGGCACCTTTGAAGCGTAGGGGAGCCCAAAAAAAAGCTTGAATCGAGCCGATGCATCGAGCGCATGCACCCCGTGAAACACGGACTCTCGAATCAACCCCGAATCACAAACATCAATGACAATCCTGAATCAACCACATCACAGACAATGAATCAACCAACATCAATCCATCACAGAACAACAAAAATTGAAGAACATTCATCAATTCATTTTTCACTAAAACTTTTTCACAACAAACCGATGCGGAAGGTTAGAAGGCCGACTCCACCGCTGTTCCCCGTTGCCGTCTGCCGGATCCGCCGCGGGAATAGACGCCGACGCCGGATCCGGCCACCCCGCCGGCCGCCGACGCCGGATCCGGCCGCCCCGCCTACCACCGACCCCACCGCACCCTCCCCACCTGCCGCTGCACGCCGCTGCTGTCTCCACCTTCGTCGGACAGCCACTGACCACAGGAGCCCGCGGCTGCCGCCACCTCTGCCAGCGGGAGCCTGTCGCCTCCGCCAGCCAGCGAACGAAAGAGGAGACACGCGAGAGAGAGGTGACGAGAGAGAACGACGCATCGTGCTGGCGATCTTATCTCCTCGACGCATCGTGGTGCCCCCCCCCCCCGGCTCGCCTCATCCATCGCCGGCTCGGCTCGATTTTACGAGGGTGTCGGTTTTTTTAGAAAACCAAAAATCGGCACCTATAATATCTTATAGGTGCCGGTTTTTAATTAACCGACACCTATAATATATTTTAGGTGCCAGTTTTCTTAAAAAAACGACACAAAATATAATAGGTGCCTGTTTTTATTTAGAACCAGCATCTAGAATAACTTAAAGGTGCCGGTTTTTTATGATTTTAACCCGCGGAGGTGGGAAAAGGCTTATAGGTGCCAGTTTTAGTGCTAGGATTTGAACTCAAGTCGGTGGTGTCAGCACCTAGAACTCCACCACCGCACCACTAGTGCTTCTCCCATTGTATGAACTTCCTATTGGCACTAAACTAGCCCAAAGTATAAACGAAGCCCATTTAGGTGTAGGCGCATAAGCGATAATAAAAATATGTTCTTGAACTATATGCATTATTATTATGAAAACTGCCATAGGTTTTTTTTCTCATGAATAGCTGAATGATTTTGTGACATTTAATTGAGAGAGTCAACTGAATTAATTAATTATCATGAATGAAACTTTTTGTACATGTATTTTTTAGATGATTGTCACAAAGGGTCTAGGGTTTAGAGTTACGAAACCATGTTATTATGGCCTGAAAATTTCGGATTTCTTCAAATTTTCGTGAGTTTGATGAAAAAAATATTCAAAGGCAGTAAAAAAATATATGTTCTCAAAACACCGAAGTTACCAAAATTTTTGCCATTTTCCGAAAGTGTAAACCCTCTTACTGTTAGATGAAATTTGAAGCACAAAGATCCACACACTTGGTTGGTAACTTATCAAGAATAGGTAATTTTACCAGAACCCAAATACAGAAAATCATGTACAGTCAGTCAGTACTGCCCTGTCCGTATATTGGTACACACATGGGAAACTCTTGTACAAAATGGACCCTGCTCTGGCATCCTTAAGTAACACAGGACGTACATGCTAATAAACCCAGCAAATTCTTTCTTACAAAAACCAAATCAGTACTCCAACACGACACACTAACCAGAACATCTTGAACGTACAGTGCAAATCTGATCGATGCATGTAGTGCACGGTTCATGCAATTGGCACATATAAATCTCTTGGCAATTTCTTGTATGTCTGGCCATGCATATCTCGATCGATCTTAGTACCAGTGATGGGTGATGGTGTGTGTCACGAAAAGTCACACGTCGATGCCGCCCTGCGCGACGCTATCATCCGGGGGGCTAATGGTGATCCAGAGGAGAGAGACGGTGATGGAGATGAGGCCGGCCCAGACGTAGACGATGGTGGGCGTCCGGCCGCGGCGGCCCATGAGGCCCTTGGCGAACGGGTAGTAGTGCGCGAGCACCCAGAAGCTGAAGAAGCCGCCGCCGAGCAGCTTGCTGTACTGCGGGATCTCCGCGTACACCGTCCGCGACACGCCGACGACGAGCGCGATGATGTTGATCCCGATGACGGCGAGCGGCGGGATGAAGAGCGACGTCCACTTGATGAGGTAGAGCTCGGCGAAGGGGTCGTCGTCGTCCTCCGCCGCCGCCTTGGCCGTGAGCGTGAAGGAGATCTCGATCCCGGCCACCACCTTGAGCAGGCCCTGCAGCACCGCCGCCAGGTGCGCCGACGTGCCGCCGATCACCCAGAACTGCTCGTTCCGCCACCACTCCTCCAGCCCGATCCCGGACCACTTCACCTCCAGCAGGCAGAGCAGCATGAGGGTGATGGTGATGAGCAGCAGGTAGGAGAGGAACGTCGGGTCCAGCGTCGCCACGATGAACTGCCCCGAGAAGAGCGACAGCGCCGGGAGGAGGCAGTACATGATGAGGAAGAGCGACGTGAAGGGGTAGATCCCAACGTTGAGGTACGCCATCCGCTGCAGGAACTTGAGCCGCCTGGACGCCAGCACCGCGTTGTTCTTGGAGAAGAAGATCTCCACCGACCCCGTCGCCCACCGGAGCACCTGGTGCAGCCTGTCCGTCAGGTTGATCGGCGCCGTCCCGCGGAACGCGTCGCGCCGGGTGATGCAGTACACCGACCGCCACCCGCGGTTGTGCATCCGGTACCCGGTCACCACGTCCTCCGTCACCGACCCGTAGATCCACCCCACGCGCTGCCCCCACTCCGTGTTGTCCTCGTACCAGCACGAGATCACCGACACCGACTCCGCCACCGTCGCCGCGTCCAGAGGCGGCCGCGGCATCAGCAGCGCGCCGGGGGGGCGACCGTTCAGGACGGACGGGTGGTCCTGCAGCGGCCGCCCCTGGTACTCGGCCACCGCGATGGACTCGATGAACATCTTGGACTTGCCGAACTTCTGCGGCGCCTCGTGGTCCGGGTGCGCCGTCGACAGCGCCTGCAGCTCGTGGTCGCCGCCCACGCTGCCGCCGCCGCTGCGGCCGCCGCCGGCGCCGGGCATGGCTTCGCTGCCTTGTCGCGGGTCGATGGGCACCTTGGTCTGGCCGTAGGTGCCGCGGTACTCGATGGCGCGCGGCGGGTTGAAGCCGTAGATGGCGTAGCGGCGGAAGAGGCAGCCCGTGCCGACGTACATGGGGCCCTGGAGGCCGTCGAGCGCGCGCATGTTGCCGTCGAAGAAGACGGTGTTGTGGTTGGCGTAGCGGTCGGAGGGGTCGATCCCCTCGAACCGCTGCGGGAACTGGATGTAGCAGATGCGGTCGCCGCCGCGGTCGAGCATGTAGCACATGGCCTCGCGGATGGCCTGGCAGTTGTAGATGTAGTGGTCGCAGTCGAAGTTGAGCATGAAGGGGCCATTGGAGAGGATCGCCGACGCGCGCACCATGGCGTTCATGGCGCCGGCCTTCTTGTTGTGGTCGTACCCGGCGCGCTTCTCCCGCGACAGGTAGGCGAACATCGGGATGCGCATGTCCACGTCGGTCATGTCCAGGTACGGGTGGTCGCCGGCCTCGCCGTACACCACGTCGTGGTGCGGGTTCTTGATCATCACCTGCACGATGCTGGCGTGGTCGCCCTTGGCGTGGTCGGGGGACGGGTCCAGCCAGGTGCCCGGCCAGTGCGTGCCGTCGGCCATCCAGGTGGCGGCCTTCACGGAGGCGAGTGCGTCGGCGTCGCCGGCGGCCTGCTTGTCGCGCGCCAGCTTGCGCTCGCGGGCGTTCAGGGCGTTGGCGCGGCGGCGGATGAGGTCGGGGAGGCTGTTCACGCGGATCTTGAACTCGTCGTACTCGCGCTTGATCCAGCGGCGGTCCTTGACGAAGTCCGGCCGCTTCTTGCCCTTGGTCGGGTCGCCCTTCTGCGTGAAGTAGGAATCCGGGTTGCGCGGCTCGATGCTGTGCTTGCGGCAGAAGGGCACCCACACCTTGGCGAACGCGCACGCCTCCGCCATGGACTCGAAGGTCAGCAGCGCGCCGCCGTCGTCGGAGATGTAGACGAACAGCTTCTCCACGGGGTACTCGGTGGCGAGGATGGAGAGGAGCGTGTTGGCCGTCACCAGCGTCGGCTCCTTGTAGGGGTCGGCGGTGGAGATGAAGACGTCAAGCCCCGGCAGGTCGGAGCGCCCCGTCGGGTTCGTCGGCGACGGCGACTCGAACTTCTCCTTGAGCGCGGCGAGGTCGGCGGCGCGGTTGATCGGGTTCAGCTTGGGCATCTGGTCGAGCAGCCAGGAGAAGGCGAACCAAAACTCGCACACGATGGAGATCCCCCACAGCCAGAGCGCGTCCATGTTAGGGTTGGTGACGCGCCACACCAAGAAGAGGAAGAGCGCCACGAACCGCACCAACACCAGCAGCCTGTAGGGGCTGAGGATGCCCGGAGGGATGGGCACCTTGCGGCTCAGCGGCTTCCACGGCTTCTCGACGAGGTCCTCCATCTTGACGGCGCCGCCGCCGCCGTCGTCGCCGTACACGTTGTCCTGGGGCCAGTAGGCGTTCCCGATGCCGTACGTGCCCTTGGTCTCGAACAGCCACCGGTTGTGGTCGAAGTCACCGGTCTGGCTGCGCACCAGCAGCGACTTGTTGCTGGACGGCGCCGGGACGCGCGCCGTCGACAGCCGCCGGTCCATCTTGGCGCCGTCGTCGCCGCCACCGCGCCGGTTGACGAGCCTGGAGGAGGACGACGAGCCATAGGGCGGGAGCGGCAGATCGCCCGGCCTAGCGCCACCGGCGGACGGCGCCGCGGGCGGGGCACCCCCGGACGGCTGGTTGTCCGGGGTGGGCGGCATGAGGACGGTGTAGTTGGCGTAGTCGACCGACATGGCGGCGAAGGACGGGTACTCCAGCGCGACGTCGAGGTGGTCGTCGTGGTCGTGGGTTGGAGAGGCTGCGGCCGCGGGAGGCCGCTAGGCTCGCCGTCCGCCGCGTAAACCTGTCTCGGGTGGCTGCCTGGGTGCCGCCGACGACGAGGACATTCGCGTTCGTCCTAGCTAGCTAGCTTCTCGGAGCCCCCATGCGGCTCTCGCCATTGCTGCGAAGGGAGTTGTTTGCATGGCTTGGAGGGATTTACGAGAGGAAGACACGGCGTGCGGAATGGCGACACTTCCGGAAAATGAGGAAAAAAATTCTCTGGGGTGGAGCCCAATCCTCAGCGTGTGAGGAACCATCGTGCCACCTGTATTCTCACCAATCTTGAAGCACCGAAAAAAATTAAGGGTGTATATTTTTCATCAAAAAATAGTCGGTATGTATTTACATTGTAAGTCCCTAAATTACATATATAATTTTAGTGTATTTACAATGTAAGTCTCAAAATTACATATATGTAAATTCAAAAATTACATACTAATTACATATGTAAGTGGGGTGTAAATGAGGTATAAATACTGTGTAAGTGGCTGAAAAAAAATCGACTGTAGCATATGGCGCCATATTTCTAGCAACTCCGAAAAATAAAGCAATTTGGATTTTTTTTTCTTAGCGTATACCCTCCGTATTTCAGTGGTGCCCTACAAACTTGTATCGTATTCTCTACCCTAATCACGTCGTTAGCGTTCCTCGTTCCTCGGAGCCGTAATCCAGCTATTCGCCCTTCCGTTCCGGCCATCGCCGTGCGTGTAGTTCGCCGCCCTTCCGTCGTCGCCGTCGCTGTGGCCGTCGCCGTCGTCATCACCGTTGCTGTCAATGTAGATGAGTCCCCGCGGCGGCGCCTTCGCCGGTGCTGCTGCCTGCTCATCCGCCGGTGGTGACAATCCTCCAAGGCCGCCCACCACAAACACCACGATATCGATGAATGCAACTGCCAGCAAAACCTTGACCACAACCATATGGCATCGACATTCTCGACGATGGCGCATTCGTCGATGCTCAATGAACTGGAGATTAGATTTTGAAGAAGATGTGATTTCTAAGTAGGCATTGTACTTATCATATAAGTAGAAAACAATAACATGAATTATTGTTTCTAATTTGTAAGCTATTGCAACCTTTATTTCTTCCTGGAAGCAATTTGTAGTGATTCGATATACTCAAACACGTTATTTCTTTCTAGTATATTTTTCTTTGGATCTTCGTGTCTTGTAAACGGGCTGCCATGCATTGTTGATCGGTCCATGGTTGATCAGGGGCCTCGGAGGATCATCACTGCCGGCGGATGGGCAGGAGGCAGCACCGGCGAAGGCGCCGCCGCGGGGATTCATCTGCATTGACTACGACGGCGACGGCCACGGCGACGGTGGAAGGGCGGCGAACTACACGCGTGGCGATGGCCGGAACGGAAGGGTGAATAGCTGGATTACGGCTCCGAGGAACGAGGAACGCTAACGACGTGATTAGGGCAGAGAATACGATACAAGTTCGTAGGGCACCACTGGAATACAGAGCTTATACGCTAAGAAAAAAAAATCCAAATTGCTTTATTTTTTTCCGGTGCTTCAAGATTTGTGAGAATACAGGTGGCACCCATCTAGGATGGTGCCTCACGCGCTGAGGATTGGGGCTCTGCCCCAGAGAATTTTTTTCCGAAAATGACACCTCCCCTCTCCCGCCGCATCACGAACAACGACAAAATTGGCCACGCGTTTTGCTTGCCAGGTAGTGGGCCGAGGACCGAAGCCGATGCCGAAGCCGAACCTCAGTCCAGCCCATTTGTTTAAGGCTCACGTGAACCGCAGGCTGCTACGCCATTTTGGTAAAAGTGCACCGAAGGTCCCTCGACTTGTCATCGAGATACCAAAGCGTCTTCGAACTGCAAAACCAGATACACAGGGTCCCTTAACTATATAAAACCGGTCACCTAACGTCCTTCGGTGATTTTCACCCCGGTTTTGGTCTACGTGGCGGCTGAGTTAGCGTGGGACCCACGTGGGCCCCACATGTCAGCTGGCCACGTCATCACCCTCTCTTTCCCCTTTTCTCTTTCTCTGTTTCTCTCCTTCCTCACTCTCGCTCTCTCTCGCAGGGCATGGGGCTGCTGCAGCAAGGGTGCCCACGGCGGCGCGCACGCCCGGAGAATGGTGCGGCCGGCGACGGCGGCTCCCGGGCCGACGCGAGCTTCCCCCAGGCGGCACACGGGCTCGGGGCGGCGGGGTCGGCGTCGTCAGCAGCGGCGAGGAACGGTTCGTCGTCGTCGTCGTTGTTGTCGAGGAGGCTGAGGAGGTCGTCGGCCGTGGAGATGATGAGGGAGTGGGAGCGGCGGCGGGCGCGGAAGCGGCGGCCGCTGGGCGGGGAGGTGGCGGGCGGGACGGCGGCGGAGTGCGCCGCGGTTTTCTGCTGCTTCCCCTTCACCGTCGTTGAGCTCGTCGTCCTAGCGGCCGTCCGCGTCCCCGCCGCGCCATTCGAGGTGGCGCTGCCGCCGCGTCCACTCGGCCTTGTCGTCGGCGGCGGCTCCGAGCGCAAGCGGAGCAAGGCGGGCGAAGCAAAGCGGCGGAGGGGCGAGGCTCAGGGTCCATACGCGGCTGCGCTAAAAGCGGCGCACCTCGCACCCGACGAGCTGGCGCGCCTCATGCTCCATCACTGCTCCATGGGAGCAGCCGCCATACCCTCTCCCTTTCCCTCTATAGCCTGGTAAGCATCCCGTCCAACCCAGTCCCAAAATTTGTCTCCCTGCAAACGAACACAATCAGGAAGAAACGGAACACCACAGGGAGCAAAGCAAGCATCCCATCCAACCCAGTCCCAAAATTCGTCTCCCTGCAAACCACCGCGCAGCAAACGAACACAATCAGAAAGAAACGGAACACCACAGGGAGCAAATAGAGCAACGATGCCAAGCAGGAACCCACGTCTCCTTCGTCTCCGGCTGGCGCCCGGACAGCGACGCCAGCTCCTCCCCGTCACCGTCGCCCAGCTCTTCCCCCGCCGCCCACGCCCGCCGCACCGACCTGCCGTGCCCAGGTGCTTCCCCGGCGGCCAATGATTCGATCCAATCCGGCGAGAGAGAAAGGGAGAGGATGTTGCTGGGGTCAGCGGCGCTTCTTTTCTTTCTTCTATCCACTTCTCTTCTGGCCACCGGCAGCAGATGGGGAGAGGCGGCCGTCGACGCCTCCGCGCCTCTCGGCCTTGTCGGCAGCGGCGGCGTCGTCCTCCACCATCTTTGCCCTCCTCACGAAGGAATCGGTGGCTGACGCTGCGGCTAGTGCCCGCCGGCCGCCGCCCCTTTTCCGCTTGGCCTAGCGCGCGTGTGTCGTTGTCGGGTGCGGCGACGGAGATGGAGGCGGAGGCTGACGCTGCGGCTGGTGCCCGCCGCCCCTTCTCCTCCCAGCCTCGCGCCTATGCGTCGTCCTCGTCGTCGGGTGCGGCGGTGGAGCTTGGTCGTCGACGCGGCCCGCCTCGCCCGCACAGAGAAGACAGAGAGAGGAGGAAGGGAGAGAGGGGAAAAGAGAGGTGACGACGTATCACCTGACACGCGGGTCCCACGTGGGTCCCACGCTTACTCAGCTGCCACCTAGATCAAAACCGGGACTAAAACCTACCTTGGGTGACCGGTTTTACATAATTAAAGGACCCTGCATATCTGGTTTTGTGGTTCGAGGACGTTTTCATATCCACAAGTTGAGGGACCTTCGGTGTACTTTTTCCCGCCATTTTTCGCCACCAACTGCTGGCCCATGTAGCCCACGGGCTGGCAAGGCAATTATTAATCCGGAAAACGTTCACCTGCCATCAACTTTAAGTCGAGTTTGATTGGTATCCTTAAACCACACAATACCAGAAACCCTCTTCCTTAAACTATACAAAACCGTATAATTTGGGTCCGATAACAGTAAGGATCCTGATTTCACTGACGTGGTATCCTAGTCAACAAAAGAAAATAAAAAAAGTATGTGGAGGCCCACACGTCAGTCGCCCTCTTCTTCCTTCTCTTTTCTTCCTAGACATGGCCAGAGAAGACACCACGCGCGACGATGACACTCTCCTTATGAGTGGAGCGGCTAGGCACATGTTCGTTGTCTCCACCACCGTGACAATGCTGGTGCGCCACTGCCACAACTCCGGCCTCGGCCATGGTGCCGTGCAACTCCGGCAACTCCAAGCTGATCACCGGAAGGATGAATCGCTCCCGAAAAGGAGTCTATTGATTCTCTCCCAATTGGTTGGATTGTAGGGGCGATGATTTGTTTCACAGGCGTGGTCTCTGGTTCAAGTCTAGGATGGCCCAGCTGCACTAGGGAAAAGAATAGAAGAAGCATATGACTCTTTCATGCATACTCCACTTGGCTCAGGGGATATAGCGACCGCAAGTTGACGTCGACGATTCTTCTACCGGAATGGAGTCTGACGGTGGAGGCGAGCCAGGGTCGACATCATCCTCACTGTCAACGGTGGCGCACCCTTTCGCGCGCGCGCTCGTGTTGGCGGACGACAAGGGCGACCGGTGCGGCGGGCGCTACGTGTACGTCCAGGAGCTGCGGGGGCGGCTAGATCCGTGTGACGGCGGTGCCCACCCCCTCAGCCACCGCCGCTCCCGAGGGCGGGGCAGCCACCTCCACCTCCATCTCAACTACCTTCGTCTCCACCTCCGCTATGCCCGCCACCGTAGCTCTCACCCACCACTCACTACCCCACTCGCTCACCGCTGTTCATCACGCCGCCGCCCAACCCAGTGTCTACCCACCCGTTCCCTCCTCCTGTCACGAGGCACCGGCTATGGTGGCGGCGGAGCCTCTCAAGGCAGCGGAGCTCGGCCGGGCTCCCCCTCTCTCCTAGGGTCGCCTGCCACCTCCCACCCCTCTGCCGCCGGCGGCCTTCCTCACTGAAGAAGAGGAGAAGATAAGAGAAAAAAGAAGAAAAGAGAAAAGAAGAGATGCAGACCTCATATTTTTTTTCTTCTCACTTACAAGTGGACCTCATAATTTTTTTATTTTTTATTTCGCTAACTGGGATTCCACGTAAGCGAAACCAAAGATGCATACTACTATAGGACCTGAAATGCACGGTTTTATATAGTTTAGGGCAGAAGATTTCTGGTATTGGGGATTAAGAATATCATAAACTCGACATAAAGTTGAGGGACGGCGGATCAACTTATTCCTACTAATCCTAATCACAGGTACGTATTTCCATACTATGCTCTATCCTGATGTACATATACAGCGACTGATCTGTCTTACGAGTTAAGCACTGAACCGCGAGTGAATTGTGTTTCCTGTATCAATAAACAGTAGCGCTCTTGCCAGAAGAGGCGGCATAAAACATTTTTCGTCCGTTTCATGTTATAAGTTATTTTAATTTTTCTAGTCAAACATCTTTACACTTGACTAAACTTATAGAAAAATATAATAGTATTTTTAACCCAAAACAAACATATTATCAAAATATATTCAATGCTAGATTTAACGAAACTAATTTGGTGTTCGAAATGTTATTAATTTTTCTATAAATTTAGCCAAACTTAACAAAGTTTTAAAAAAATCAAAACGATTTATAATATGAAACGGAGGTAGTATATAAAAGGGATGCATTCGGTTCACGAATGGTGAGAATCTCTCGTCACATGGCAAGGGTTACCAATGTTGGGGACTAGATCCCTAATTCTCCAAATCTCTTTGGAAAATTTGGAACGAGCGAAATCGGCGAATTTTTCGAAACAAGGAGCTAAGCACGGCGACCCTCACCGCAAAGATTAAAGAAGAGTCAACAACCTGGGGTTCGGTGGGAGCCAAACGCCTAGCGGAGATGTTGCCTTAGTGCCTATTCGGTCTTTGTAAATATTACTTTTACTCCTTACATGTAAATATTATTGCTCTCTGCTTTATTCAATTAATGGCAAGTTTTGCCGTCGTTCAAAAAAAAAAAGGATGCATTATCCGAGTAAAGATACCTCCGATACTCTTTGCGCAGATAGCTTCATAGAGACAAGAGTTCTTGACTCAGCCCAAAGCAGAGTCTGACAGAAAACCTCGATTTTCTAAAATCAGATAAAGTGCAGTCAATAAAACTGTTACTGGAGTATCTGTGAGCACAAGAAGCAACAAATGATTTCCCGGAACAATTTTATTTCTGATTTCCTATTTGCGAGGAGAAGACACAAGCTTATTTTGGAGGCTACAAACAAACTGAAATGACATGGCCCGAATCAAATGAAATCTCACAATGAAACTCAACAGAAGTGTTCGATCTTAAACATGCATCTCATCCAACTTGCTCCACACTGATCACATTACAAATTAATCAAGAAGAAACTAAACATGGATCGATCATCACCCAAGTGTCACATCCTCGCAACAAAAGCCTTCTTCCCCATCTGAACCAAATCAGTCCTTCACAACACATCCTCACAAGATTCTGACGATGGAGTGACCACCATTTTTATGCGTGTTGCCGATGGCGAAATGGGTAATTAGAACTCGCTGCTGGCAACGGGGGCGTGGTCGCCGCACATGTAGACGTACCGGTAGACGAGGCCGGCGAGGCCGCCGCCGACGAGGGGGCCGACCCAGTAGATCCAGATGTTGGTGTAGTCGCCGCTGGCGACGGCGGGGCCGAAGGAGCGCGCCGGGTTCATGGAGCCGCCGGAGAAGGGGCCGGCGACGAGGATGTTGGCGCCGACGATGAAGCCGATGGCGATGGGCGCGATGGTGCCGAGCGACCCCTTCTTGGGGTCGGCGGCGGTGGCGTACACGGTGTACACCAGCCCGAAGGTGACGATGATCTCCATCACCACGCCCTCGAACGCGCCCACGCCGGACAGCCCGTGCGTCGGTGTCGCCTGCAAACCAACGGCCACCCACGGCGGCGTCAGTGAGTGAGTGACGGATCAGGCTGAGAGCTCAGCTCTGGCGGTGAGGTGCATGCAAGAAAGAAGGCTTACCACGCCGGTGCAGAACTGGACGAGGACGGCGCCGACGATGGCGCCGAGGAGCTGGGCGATCCAGTAGAAGACGCCGGTGAGGATGGTGATCTGGCCGCCGAGGGCGAGGCCGAAGGTGACGGCCGGGTTGACGTGGCCGCCGGAGATGTTGGCGCCGATGGCCACCGCCACGAACAGCCCGAACCCGTGGCACACCGCCACGGCGACCAGCCCGGCCGGGTCAAGCGGCGCGCCGCCGGTCAACTTGGCTGCAATTCGATCGTAAATCACAATTAATCGCACCGTTCATCGTACGTTTGCATGCGCCATGGTGCCATCGATTTACTCACTGTAGGCGATGGCGGAGCCGACGCCGGCGAAGACGAAGACGAGGGTGGAGATGAACTCGGCGACGTAGGCCTTGAGGGAGGCCGCGCTGAAGGAGTCATCGAAGCGGCCGAAGGCGATGTTGCCCGACATGGCGACGACGGTGGCGCGCGCGGGGGAGAGCTGAGTGAGCAGAGGAAGAGGAAGGAGAGGATGTGATATGGGGGGTGGTCACTAAGAATACGGATCACAGACCCCGTGAATGCTATTCTTATAGGTGGCCTGCCCGGTTATTCAGAGCTTCGGTCAGTCTAAAAGGAGAAAAATGAAAAACTTATTTTTGGTGTAGGGGATAATGGATTCGGGTTTGCAATTAATTTTGGACCCGAGAGAAGTACTTCCTCCGTCCCTAAATATTTGACACCATTGATTTTTTTAAACATGTTTGACCGTTCGTCTTATTCAAAAAAATTAAGTAATTAATAATTTTTTTCTATCATTTGATTCATTATTAAATATATTTTTCCGTATATATATAGTTTTCATATTTCACAAAAGTTTTTAAATAAGACGAATGGTCAAAAATGTTTTAAAAAGTCAACAACGTCATATATTTAGGGACGGAGGAAGTATATGTTAGTACATCCGTCCCGAAATAATTTTATTTTCTCTTGTCCCATAAATACAAAAGCAAAAAGACTGTAATACCCTCCACCCAACCAAATCCTAATAGAATTGTTCCATTTTTATCTACTTCCAATACATTTGTCGCATACTTTCACAAACTTTGATAATTTTTTTCTTAAAAGTAAACTTATTTTTGGACAAATAGGAGGGGATAAAGATGAATTTATTTTGGCAGGGAGGGATTACAACATATAATTGAATTATTACCGTACTACTGATTGATATGATATCACATTGACTGGCGTAACATGTTAACATTCAAATTCACATTAGTCCACTCTACACATAGATTGGGTCTACATTCAAATGGCACCACACTTAGAAGGTCTACCATGAATGTCTCTCTAGGAATAGGGCTGAATAATGAATCAGTTCGATTTGGCTCGATCTGGCTCCGCTTGGCTCATTAAGCTAGCGAGCTAGGAGAATAAACATCAACTCAAAGTCCACCTATGATGATGACGACTGTCTCTTCTCATTATGTGAGTTCTTTGACTTCAAACTTGTCGGGCAGAGGTGCCTTGTCTTGCATCTCATCTTCCTACTACATGACCTAGTGGTGCGTCGAGGGAATGCGGTTGCGCGCGTTGGCGTGAAACCATGACGGTTCGATAAGACGGAGATGGAGTCAAGTATCGGCATGTTATATGTCATGGTTTGTCTGCCGAGGATGAAGTAGAGTGGTAAGCAAGATAGGGATGGAGTGAGGCGATAGGCAAGAGCATGAACGGAGTTGCTTGAGCTATGATATGTTGAGGCAGCGTTGCGACCATGTTGATGGGTGGCGGAACGACAAAGTGGTGACGTAAGAACAGAGGACGGATGGGAGTCAAGTTGGATATAGAATGGAATGCCATCATAGGTGGCATACGGATTAAGGGTGGAGTTGGGATTTTATCTTGTTGGGTTGTTGTGTTGGCCACTGCTTGCCTTGGCTTATTTGACTCTTGAGCAGCCTGATGAGCAGCTAAAATGTGAGCTCAACTTATTACGAGAGTGCAACGAGCCAAGCCATGCGTTGGATGAGCTAACGATCCATGAGCTTTTTCATCCATCTAGCCATACTCTGGGATGAGTTGACTCAAACGATCTACCTAAAAGTTTTTTTATACAATACATGGCTAGTCATTATACTTGATTCGAGGTATCACTTAGGTCTATTAACTTGTAATCCATCCTGTCGATGGGGGATACCCGTAGACTGGATATAGAGGGTATTGCGGTACGTTGGAACGAGGATCTACGTAGTACGACATCAAGCAAAATAAAAGATAGGGATTATATTGGTTCAGGCCCCTTTGTAGGTAATAGCTCTAATCCAGTTGGTATAGGATTATACGATGGAAATCACAGATTACAAAGGGAATAATGGAACTTGATGATACCGACGAGACCGTAGTCGAGTTGGTTTGACTAGATCACCCGGCGACTTGGCTCCTGTAGGCTCCGGCTTCGTAGGCTGTGGTGGATGTGTTGGCGGTGAGATTCGATGCCTTAGGTCCTGCCCACGGGGTCCCTTTTATACCACGGATCAGTTGATCTCCAAGTAGAACTCGGAGATATCGGACCCCTCACGATATGGTAACGACCCAGTTCTGTCCGAGTATGATTCCTTCTATCTGTGGACTCCGTTTCTATCACGTGATAGATTTCCTTAACACATACAGGAACTATCTGTATACACGTGGGTATACCGTCTCAGTATACAACGTATATCCAAGGATAGTGGGTATACCTTATCCGTAACCCTGACACCTCCGTTTCATATTATAAGTCATTTGACTTTTTTCCTAGTCAAATTTGACCAAGTTTATAGAAAAAGTTAACAACATTTAAAATACCAAACTAGTTTCATAAAATATAACATTGAGTATATTTTGATAATATGTTTGTTTTGTGTTCAAAATACTAGTGTATTTTTCTATAAATTTGGTCAAACTTGACTAGGAAAAAAGTCAAACGACTTATAATATGAAACGGAGGGAGTAAATTATTTAGCTAGGACCGTAATTATTTATAATCCTGGTTTATTGTATTACTTGAGGTCCAAAGCACATTTAAGTGGTTATGACTATTGACATGGCTTTCTACGGTGACCAAAATTTTACATTCAGCCTATTTCGACCCACCATACAACTAGATTTTGTGTTTAGCCTCCGCTCTAGATTTTTATCCCAACCCAACCCCTCTGTCCTCAATCTCTTCTCATCTTTGAAATTATGGAGGAGAAAGCGGTGAGGACTCGGGTGGCACAAAGGGTGGCTAGGGTAATAAGGGTAGCATGGCTTCTTTTCATTGTCATCAAAATTGCCTTCTCCAAGAATCTCACCATCTTCAAGTTGTCGGAGCAGAAGACCGAGAATACCACCGATACAATGCCCTTCATGTGGACAACATAGGCCTAATCCCTGCCTCTTCGGTTTGGGGAGCACGGTGGAGTGGTGGTGGGAGTCAGATTGGGAGTGTACGGTAAAAGAGGGCTAAATGAAAAATGTACGTAACAGTGGACAACCACGTCAATGTCTAGAAGACGTTTCGTATTTCAGATGATACATTAAATCGGAATTGACATAATGAGTGATTTATAAGTTAATTAACCTTAGATAACATCCCTGTGCAAGTCTTTGAATAGGACTTGCCATATATATTTTATTTAAAAAAAAACTTGGGGAAGGAAGACACGTACCAGCCTGGTGATATAGTGTATTAATTCAACCCGACCCGGTAGCAACAACCAGATGGGAGAAGCGGCTGACGGCCGACGTGGCGGCGGCACCCGTCGTTGTCCAATTCCGTCACGCCAGCTGTGCAATATTCGCCGAAGCGTCTGGATCGATCGGCCGCCGCGCGCGCCTCCGTCACTCGCTCCATCGCTTCTCCGCGCGCCATTTCCCAGATCAATCATTCATCCGCTCGTGGGATCACGGGCCCACCCACTCCTTGGTTTTGGATCAAGCCGATTTAATTAATTGGTCTATTCATCCATGGAGTAACATCTTCAAAACAAATTAATCTTAGTATAATCACTCATTAGTTGGCAAACACTTTGGCGAGTCACTATCCGTGATTATTGAGAAGGTTATCTAGTTATCTGCCCAGATAAGATGGAACCAAGTGAGTAGGAGAAACGGAGAAGTTGCATGCATGTTTTTTGCATTAACCAGTGGGGCTCTGTTCAGGAAGATATGTTCGTTCTGATGATGATGATCAGGTTGTGGTTGGGTTTGCACAGACTTGGTCATGGTGTTATGTTACCCTCTTTTCTTAGTTAGCTAGGGTTTGCTTCGTAGGATAATGCTTGGGGTTAGTAGTTACTGATCAGTTTGCAGGTCATAATAATGCAGATAAGTTCAGAAGCTTAATTGCTTGGGCTAGTTGTTACACTATTTGCAGGTTTAATTGGACAAATGCATTAAGCCTCAAGTCTTACTATTTGTCTTACATTTCAAGGTCGTAATAATGCTCGAACAACTTTTCGTACGTCAATTTGCAGGTTGCATGATCGATCAGCAGCTTTTTTTTACTGTGGTACTTTGTTTTGCATCACACGAAACTATGATATCACAGGGGTAGATGGTCCACTTTGTTCATCACATACACAACATCCAAGGGCATAATTCCAACAATTACTTGATCCCCAATCCCAAAAGGACAGCTATGACAATAAAGATGTTTTTGTCCTCACAAAAATCAAAAGTAGTAAATGTTCTTCAACACATGCGTGAAATTATGGTACCATCTGATCAGAATTTACATTGATGAAATGATCCTCTCCAATTCTTGTTGATACAACTAGAACCGCATACCTTGATCATTAGAATACGTTGATCCATTCTGATTCTGGATCTGATATGATCTCCCTGTACGTACAACCACATGGCAGCCACTGCTCAGTCTAATTCCCTCCTACTTAGCTAGCTAACTAGCATTGGTTATCTAAGGGGAAAAAAAAGCTAGCTAGCATTATGCCTGCTATCTAGGACTGTCAGAGTGGCCATTAGCATGCACATGGTGCATCGGATTTTCCAGGTAAAAATCTTATTATAAGATACATATCGAATGCAGTTTTTGTTGGGTAACAAGAACCTCATCCAAAATTTTCTAGCTATCAGATGATAAATGAAAACAATGAGAAAACGAATGAATGAATGTCCTTCCAAAGAATCGCTGGAAGTACGTGTGCTGTAGGCTGTAGCACAGTGCCTTGGGATCTGAAATGATGAACAGGAGGCAAAACTGGATGAGCACGACGACGACGATCCTGCGTGGCAATGGCAGGCAGCAACATGTGTGAGAGACTGCAGCAGCGGATAGAATGGAATCTTTTTTCCTCTCTGAACTAAGCTACTGTCTAAATTAACCATGCAATTAAGCGTGTGTCTATATGCTGAATTGCTGATGGTCCACGAACAGCCTAGCAAGGCATGAATTCAGTCAGGGACCAGTTAGCTGAACGCTGAATCGCAGATGGTTTCAAACAAATCTCTTGTGTTTGTCTCTACGCCATCACACTGAATAAAATCATTCGGACACAGCTAGCTAGCGATGCTATCCAGAGATATTATTGTCCTTG